AGTAGGTTGCCCCTGACGAAGTCGATAGCCGTGTGCCTCCTCCTGATGCAGGTTAGGCATTGTTTGGCGAAGTTGCGGACGTCATTGAACATATTATTCCACCAGAAGTACTTCGCTAGTCGGTTGTACGACCGCTGGATCCCTTGATGAGCCCCGACGCGGGAGAAGTGGAAGTAGAAGAGGATCCGACGGCGCAACGGCTCGGGGACATATACCCGATTGTTGACGATGGGTAACCCGTTCTGTAGGGTATGTTGAGGCGGGTGTTCTTGCTCGCCGTTGAAGGCGGTGACGAAGTCGTCGGGCGAGGGGAACGTTTCGTTGAGTGTCAGCATGTATGGCCGTACGTCCGTGTGAGAGGCGAGGACCCATCGAGCGTCGATGTCCTCGTCCAGTTTGCTGAACTGGATGTCCCTAGTGAAGATGTCTACGTGTTGCTGGTCCCGGCCGGCGCGGTAGACAACCTTGAACTGAAATTCTTGGAGGAACATCGCCCAGCGTGCGATGCGCGACTTCTCCGTGTTCCAGAGCCATTTGAGGCTTTGGTGGTCAGTGCGGACGATGAATTCCTTCCCTCTGAGGTAGTGGGCGAAATGGAAGATGGACCACACGATGGCGTATGCTTCCAGTTCGTAGATCGGCCATTTTGCTTCGGCGGTGGTGAGCTTCTTAGAGGCGAATTGGAGGACGTAAGTGGTGTCTCCTTCTCTTTGCTGCAGTACGCCGGCGATGGCGTATGTGGACGCGTCGGTGTCCAGGTAGAAAGGCAGTCCGGAGCGCGGCAGGCACAGTGACGGCTGGGATGTGGTGAGTAGACGTTTGATGTCCTCGAACTTCCGTTGACATTCGTCGGACCAGACGAATTCTTCCGCAGTGATGAGCTCTTGGATCGGTTTGACGAGGGCGGCGAAGTCGGGTATGAACTTACGTAGGTACCCGACCAGGCCTAGGAGGCGTCGAACGCCATTGACGTCTTCCGGGGGAGAGAGGCCTTGGATAGTGGCGATGGATTTTTTGGATGGGTAGATCTTGCCGTCGCGGATGGTGACGCCCAAGTATTCGAACTCGGACAGGCCGAAGTGACTTTTGCGAATGTTGAGAAATACTTCGTGGTCGCGCAGTCTCTGGAGTACCCATTCGAAGTTGCTCATGAGTGACGGCCACGAGCTACCGTAGATTACGATATCGTCAATGTAGACGAGACACCCGCTCCCTAGACGATCTTCGAGGAGTTTGGTCGTCATCCGTTGGAACGTGGCTGGGGCGTTGATGAGTCCGAAGGGCATAACGCGAAATTGGTATAGTCCGGTAGGGGTGGCGAAGGCAGTCTTCGGTTTGTCTTCCTCCTTGATTTTGATTTGGTGGAAGCCGGCCTTGAGGTCGAGGGTGATCACGTGTTCCACTCCCCCTAGTTGATCGTGGAGATCTTCGATGATGGGCAGCGGGAAGGTATCCGGGACGGTGACGTCGTTGAGGGCGCGATAGTCGACGCACATCCGCCACTCCCCGGTTTTTTTGGAACCATGACTATTTGTGACCTCCATGGGCTGTCTGACTCTTCGATGGCCCCCGCGGCCAGCAGGTCTTGGACCTGTCGCTGGATTTCCTGCTTCTGTTCTGGTGAGTATCGCCGGGTGCCCTGCTTGATGGGCTTACTGTCCCCCGTGTCGATCCGGTGTTCTAGTACCTTACAACGTCCGACCTTCGTAGCTGTCCATGTCGAGTCGTAGGCTGTGAGCAGCTTGAGTATGTCCTGCCTCTGACTGACGGACAGTGATGGGTTAATGCGCTCTTCGATCTGGCT